TTCATTAGCCTTTCTTTTGATCTTCATTTAATTCTTCTAATCTTGTACCACATCAATTGAGATACTATCGAAGTATTGATCGCCATCTTTGGTTCTTTCAACTTTCTAAACAATCACTGCTTCAATCTGAACAGCGGTAGAACAACTTCATGGATTTGTACCAACACATTTATCTTGTCCAAATGTGTTTCAAACGCACATCTTTCTTCCAATGATGTTATTATATATCAAACATACTTTAAATGTATATTACCGCTCTATTGGTAATTATACACTTATTACGATAACCATTCATTTTATTATTTTACGATATCTCGCGATCGTTTATTTATAAACTTATCGATGTCAACTATCATAAGTCTCTTTATCACTCCGAAAAATTATATTATGAAAATTCTTAAAATTTTCTAAACCATGGTCGGCAACAGACCTTAAGCTTTCTCACATAATAGAATATAAGACATATCTCTTCTCTATATTCATTTATCATTTAGCACATAATAGAATATAAGGCATATCTCCTCTTAATATTCTAGTGCTTGCCTCCATTAGGTATTCAACCTAAAATATATCGTATCATCTTTACTTAATAATTCTTGTTTAAGTTTAGAAAATCTTAAAATTTCTGGTTCACTTAAACTAATTTTCTTAAAATTCTGAAGTAACTTAATATCTTAGAATACTAGAGTTTATCATTACCCAATCCCTCACTTAAATATTTCCTATGGTTTGCATCCATATACTTATTATGAATCAGCTCATATATTGAGCTTCCAACAGTTTAAGTCTAAATACCAATCTGTGATATTTAGTTCACTTAAACCATTGCTCTGATACCATGATTGAAAGACCCTAACTTTCGTATTTATGAAAGACTCAAACTTTCATACTATTTCAAAAGATTTCTTAAGTTACTTCCTCAAAACATGCTACATGCATACTTATAAAACAATATTTTATATTGATAAAGTGATTACAAATGATTGGATACAAACCGACTAAGTTTTATTACAATTTCATGTCTACCCAGGAATCTACTATTCATATACATACATGAACATTAAAAATACAGAGAAATACTATTAACTATTCTAAATCTTTCAACAGTACAAAGCTATATTGGAATACTCATCACCTGCAATTGTTAAATATTGAGAGGAATAAGCGATAACGCTTAGTGAATTCAATAGATAGATACAATATAATCTTATGCCTTACATATACCAATATGATAGAAGCAGAAGGGAATAAGAAGACATATGTGAAATCATGTGACAAGCGTTCATATCAATCAAAGACTTTATTCAAATATATACTTTTCAATTAGACATAACGATTTCAATACTTGATATGCATCAATAAAGCTTTGGCCAAATTGGCACATAAGACATATAATTTCTGATTAACATTTTGGTAGATTTCAGGCTTATAGCCCTGTCTAACCATTTGCCAATACCACAGAATAGAGTTCATTCTCTTACGGAGTCATGCTCTACATGGTCAGAGGCTACATATCATTCATATCAAACCTTATGCCAATGCAATAGAATAGAAGTCATTCTCTTACGACGACATGCTCTACATGGCCAAAGGCTACGTACCAGTACCAATGTGAATCTAAGTCCTTTCACTGATCACATGGTCAAAGTTATTATAATTGCTATAAACATAGCGAATAAAGTAACACGGGAGAATAACTCAGAATAATAACACTGAGAAGCACATAGCACATATAACACATAACATACAGTTGTTCTTATATATTGAACTCACATTAAGTTAACCGGGGGTTAAAATAGTAATTTGGACAACATTTCGGCTTTAAATATGTCTTTCTATGTTGAAAACCGGGAGCTTAATTGAAAACCGGGCTCTGCGAAGGTAGGGCTTCAAAACCGAAAATATAAAATTTTCGGGCTTCTCGGGGGTCTTGGGACGTGTTTCGGGTGCTAAAATTGATACCGGGGCTTCGGGAAAAGTCAAAATAAAGAAAATATGGAAAAAGGGGCCAAAAATGGCAATTTTTAAAAATTACCCGGGAGATCTTGCAGTCCTCCCTTTTATAGGGCCGAGATGCGAGGCCGGATCAGAAGGGCGCGTCAGCAACAGCAACTAGGTGGCAATGAGGGAGGAAGACATGCGGCTTAAGCGAAGCTCGGACACGCGAAGGGGGCAGCTGGCGCTTCGGAATCCGGACCAAACACACGTCGGACTTCGAACTTGCCACGATTCGGATGACTCAGCGAGATCGGACACCTGTGCGACAGGCGGCATTGCGAGGCGAGGGCACGTCTCCGGTGACGCACCTTCTTCGTGCGAGGTGACGTGGCCGGTTACTATTCATGCGAGATTTCTCGATTTTTGAGCCCTAAACTTCTAAAATCCATAACTTTCGCATACGAGCTCCGTTTTTGACGTTCTTTAGATGAACGCATAGCTAAAATTACGCTCTACAACTTTCGTTTAGACTGCATTGGCTAATTTTGACTTTATTTTTAATATTATTATTTTTAACAGACCGGGATAGGAAAATCCGTTAAAAATTCATAACTTCTTCATCCGACATCCGTTTTCGTCAGACATTTTACCGTTGTACTACATATGAAGAGACCTTCGATTCTCGTTTAGGATGTATCAGTAAAATATTGCTCGATCTAAAATTCGAGTTTTTAGCTGTCTACTGCTTGGTTGAAACTTCGAAAAATCATAACTTCCCCATACGAAGTCAGATTTTTTGGCGTTCTTTTTATCGAATTTCTCGGTTTAACGAATACTAAAACTTTCATTTAGATTACTAAGGCTAAAAAGTAGTTTATTAAAAACTCATTTTTTACGTCATTCGGCGTCGTGCCGGTTTTGTCGCGGATCTTCGGTTGGTCATAACTTCTTCGTTATAACTCGTATTTTGACGAGGTTTTTGCCTACAAGTTTCTAATGAGATTCTCTACAACATCAAATAATAAAATTTTACTTATTTAAAATTTTATATTTTTGCTAAATTTCACTATTTGGCTATTAATTGGAATCTAATAAGACTTCCAATATTTTATGAGTGATTCTAAATATAGTTTTACTTCATTTCTAGTAAAAACTAGCTGTTAGAACTCAACACTCGATTTTATTCACTTTTAATAATAACAATACACAATTTCAGAACGTGTATGTTACAAATATGCTGAACAATAAGTATGACTATGTTCCATGTGATTGTCAGGATGATATCTAGGACAGAGGATTAAATGATCCCTTATCTAAAGGACAAAATTTTGGTCAGAGTTGACAGCAACGTATAAGAGCTACGATTGCTAAGCCGGATTCTGAAGTCATATGTGAGATATATTTACTAGACTTATCCAAGTGGGAGACTGTTGGATTAGTGTCTAAGCGTGTAACTATATTTGGTATGTACTTGACCCGGTTATGCATGATCCTTTTGGGTTGCCTTCACCGAAGCAACTTGACAGGGTAATTTGATGAGAGAGAGAGAGAGAGAGGATAATATGATTTATTAATATATTATAAGAATAATATATTAAAGGAGAAATCATATTTATTTAGTTAGTATTAGTCATAAATTAATTAGGAATTAATTTGGTGACTAAAAGAGATTAATTAAATAAAGGGGCATAAACTATCAAATGTGTGATAGTTGAGTTTTGGGCTGGGAAACCTAATGGACTAAAGAGGAACTAAATTATGATGAAGGATCATCATATTTTCGTCCAAGGCCTTATTCCAGAAGGTTCCTTGGGCTGCTTGGTGACTAAGCTGTCCATTAGGGTTTAGACTGAAACCCTAGCAACCCTATAGTATAAATAAGACCCCTAGCCTTCAATTTTTGGCCACTTGCTTCCCAAGAGAAACCCTAGGCTGAAATTAAGTATCCTCTCTTCTCTCTCAAAGTTGCCTTCTTGCTTGTGGTGTTTGTAAGCAATTAGAGGAGTTACACTTGTGACTCTAAGCTCAAGAACAAGAAGATTGAAAGGATTTCAAGCCAATTGAAAGAGGTAATCACTTAGATCTGTTCTTATAGTGTTAATTTCGAATTATATATGCTAGATTAGGGTTTGCAAGTCTTGGATTCAATGCATGTACAATAGAGAAACCTAGATCCAAGCTTTAGGGTTTGTATGAGCACATAAGATTGTTCTTTTGCATAAAACTCATCAATTACGACACAACTTGTTGCTCGTTTACCTATCACGTCTATATAAAATTTTCTTCTATTTTTATATTAAAATCTTTTTGTGTTAAAAAAATTTAACTATCATTATTGTTATTGTTTAAAGAACAATGAATTTAGTTTATTCCCATTTAAAAAAATAATAATAAAATAAAATTTATTGACGTTGCTATATTTTAAACGTCAATAAATTTATTTTAGTATTTTTTTTTTTTGTTTAAATCAAAGAAAACCACATTCATTGACATATAAACTACAACAATATGGTCTTTAAAAGAAAAAAAAAAAAAAAAAAAAACTACAACAACATAAATTATAAGGCTAATCCCAAAAAAATACAATATATTTTGTGTTTTGTAACACCTGGAAGCTTGCTTTCCAGGTATCAGGTATTAATTTTATACATTCATTTTCTAGAATTTGGGCTGCCCACAACGTGGTAGTGAGATTAACCCGAAATTATAATGATGGAATCCTATCCTATCATAAGGATATAGAGATAAATCGGACAACCGGCAAACTACATTCCGTTTTATAATGGAATCATATTTTAGATGATTAATTCCTAACTATATCATAGTTTTAAAGTCAAACATATAATAATAAAATATCACGTTAATATAAAGACAAACATATAATAATAATATATTCAAAAAACTTCTGATCATTATGAATGGTGTAGCAAGGTCATCGTATCATGATCACAAAGATGGACTTTTCTAAACCAAAATCTAATATAAATTACAATTGCTTCCATCCTACTTTCCATCAAATACACAAATAGTCATTTCTTGAGAAAAAGAGAGAGAAAACAACCATGAAGAGCTTCAGCATAGTTGCATGCCTTCTTGTAGCGCTGGTCTCATTTCCACCGGTGATTCATGGACAAACATGTCCGCCAAGTGGTAGCATAACGGGAAAAGAACCTCCTCCTGGAGAATGCAACACACAAAACGACTCTGATTGTTGTGTCGAAGACCAGGTCTATACCACCTACACATGTTCACCAGCTAGCAGACAGGCAACACTAACTTTAAACAGTTTCGAAGAGGGAGGTGATGGAGGTAGCGAATCAGCATGTGACAACCAATACCATTCTGACGACACACCAATTGTAGCATTATCAACAGGATGGTTCAATGAAAATGATAGGTGTAAGAAGTTCATCACGATCAATGGTAATGGACGAAGTGTAGAAGCCATGGTTGTAGATGAGTGCGACTCTGCAATGGGTTGTGATGAAGAGCATGCCTATCAGCCACCATGCCGTAATAACATTGTTGATGCCTCTAAAGCTGTTTGGGAAGCATTGGGCGTATCAGAAGACAATTGGGGAGAGTTAGATATCTCCTGGTCAGATGCATAATCATCCCATACTATATAATTCCAGCAAATTCAGTCTTATATATATGACTGTCTACGTATGTGTTTGAGTGTATGATAAGTTGTTGAAATAAAAAGTTAGTATTAAACTTGTATTCTATTTGGATAATCAGATTACATGGTGTTTGATTAGGGTTTAGGCTAAATCTTTAGGGTTTAGATTAGGTATCTTATTTATTTTTATTTACATGATGTTTAACCTTACTATTTATTATTAATCAAGCAATTTATTATCGTATATAGTATCAGAGCTTTAGGTTGAAATCCTACTGCTGACCACAACCCGCTACCGCCATCCTCCACCTCCGAGAGCATTATCTCATAGTCGTTGAAGGTGCTTTCATTATGCATCATATTGCCTTCGGGTTTTTTTTTTCTTTTTTTTTTTTCATTCTAAATAATAAAATAGTCGCTAATACCGAACTAGAACTTTTAGCTCGGCTTCTTCCACCGGCTCATTTGCTTATGTCTCCTCGTCGGATGGCTCATGCCTTTATGCTTTCTATCTTCTCCTCAACTTGCCTCTTATTTAGATATATTTTTCGGGTCAATCGGAATAGGCTCCGTCCAGCACAGCTGGAGCTCTCTTTCTGATTCCATCTCAAAGACATGCATATATGTCAAGGCCATCTCTAAGGGTGCACCGAGTGGTTCGCTCCCAACTCATTCAACACATTATCACATCAGTTTTTCTTTATTTTATCTCTTCCATCTTTCTTAATCTACAATACATAGAAACTCTATCTTTTTTAAACCACTTAACCCATTTGTTACATTATTTTTTTATTTTAATAAATTAAAAAAATATAAATTACAAAAAGAGTTTATACAAATCTGATCCACTTGGCTAAATATTCTTTTATACAAAGTTCAAACGACTCACGTTATTAAATGAAAAAAAACAAATAATAACCGATAAACGCTAATACAAAAGTTAAAGTTGCAGGTGGAGAATAAATTCTCCTTTATTTCTCTTTCTCTCCGTACATGTTTCCCTTGCATTGAATTGTCAATATTGAATTTAGTCAAAAAGTCATTCACTGGTTGTTGAAGCCGATTTAATATAATAAACACTTGAACATGCTGAACCCTGGGATTTTAATCGCACTCCAGAAGAGTAAATTCGAGAAATGATAAAAAAAAGGTTGTTTGAAGAAAATAATCAAGGAAAAATGCATTTTAGAAAATGATTAAAGGATCTCCTGAGCATCCTTTGCGGATCTATTAAGTTTTCTGCAGATTTGCTACACCTCTGCGGAATTGAGTTTTTTTTTTTTATTTTTTTGCGTTAATTTTAGTTTATTAATATTAATTTTTTTTAAATATAATAACACGTTATGTGATTAATATGTAAATAAATTGAGAAAAAAAAGTTTTTTTTTTTCGTTTTTTGACGTTATCTTTAGTTTACTAATATAATTTTTTTTAAAACACTAATATGAATTTATTTGAATGAGGTCTAACTCGGGGGATCCATTAAAGGTTAAAAATAATGAACTTATGTTTAATCCGCAGAGCACCCTCTGCGGATCCATTAAAAACTCTACGGAATCTTTGTTTTCTGATTTAAAAAAAAAAATCGTTTTTTCGTTTCTTTGCGTTCATTTTCGTTTATTAATATTAAATTTTTTTTAAATACACTAATACCTTATGTGATTATGTAAAAATTTGACAAAAAAAGTTAAAAATAATGAACTTATGTTTAATATCAGTCCACAGAACTATTTAGGAATCTACATAATTGTTATTAGCGGATCAGTGTACATACGTATTCTCTTCTTCGAATCACCTCTGTGGATTAGTATACACTCTGCATAACGGAATATGCAGAACTGTTAGAGAATAAAAAAAATGACTGACAAACAGCTTTGCGGATTACCAAACAATTTTGTGGAATAAGTAATATAAAATCACTTTACCATGCGTATCCTTTCATCGATTTTGTACCATTTCTTCTTCATTTCATTTTTTTTTTTGAAAAATTAACCATCATATTTTCCGTCATAATGACTTCTATACCATGGAGCGCTGATGATAACCTCCGTCTAACTTGTGCATATATTAATATCTACGAGACCACCAGGGTGAATGGTCCAAGTTATTGGACCCGTTTAACTTATGCCTTCAACGCTGACCCTAAAAAAATATGGAATATTTGTATAATTTTAATTAAGTTATTTATATGCACCGATTTTTATTACATTATTATGTATTTGGTTTGTATTAGGTTATTTAGGAAACAGTTAAGTTAACTTCTACTTTATTTCATAGAACATAAAATACAAAACAGTATAAATACATTGAAAACATACATCATTAGCAAACACAAACGTATTACATAAAACAATTCATTACTTTTAATATTTTTTTGTCAAATTTTTTACATAATAATTACATAACCTATTAGTGTATTAAAAAATATATATTAATAAACTAAAATTAACGCAAAAAACAAACAAAAAAAACTTTTTTTTTATCAATTTTTTTACATAATAATCACATAACATATTAATATATTAAAAAAATTAATATTAATAAACTAAAATTATCGCAAAAAATGAAAAAAAAATTAAAAAAACTCAATTCCGCAGAGGTGTAGCAAATCCGCAGAGGACTTAATAGATCCGCAGAGGGTGCTCTATGGATCCTTTGGTCATTTTCTGAAATACGTTTTTCCATGGTTATTTTCTTCAAACCATCCACTCTTTTTGATTATTTTTCGAATTTTCTCAACCTATAACAACCTAATAGTCAAAGTAAACGCATGAAAAGACTGATACAGAGTTTCCAAATGTTCAAAATCAAAATTTATTGGATTATTTAGATATACCTCCCTCAGAGATACCTGACTTGTAACTTAAGCCTTTATTTTTTTTAATATTTATTATTAAACCTTACATTTATGTTTTGTAATCTTAATAGATATGTATTTTCCAACAAATTTTATTTAATTAAATTTATATTAAAATAAAATATTTTTTATTATTTAATAAAGTTTTAATTACAATGTCCTTTAACATTTGTACTTTTAAATTTATAGTTATTCACGAAAAATATAACGATAAACAAACCGAACGTATATCCAAACATTCTAAATAGTTTGATAATTACAATTTCCGTTAACATTTGTACTTTAAATTTATAATTATTCACGGAAAATATAACAATAAACAAACCGAACGTACATCCAAGAATTCTAAATAGTTTGATAATTACAATGTCCGTTAACATTTATACTTTTAAATTTATAATTATTCACTAAAAATGTAATGATAAACAAGCTGAACGTATATCCAAGCATTTTAAGGCTGTGGTGAGTGGTCACATCCAACCCATCGAAAAAGCGTTGTCACATCTGCATCACGTTAGCTTTACCATCAACCACTAAACATTAGAAATGGTTACCACTCCACAAATTATTAATTTAACACTTTATATATTTTGTCTATTAATATGCACATGCATATTAAAAAAAAACATGTTCGTCAAATCTTTTCATAAATCTCGATATGGTTTAGACTCGAAATATGAAGATTGTTGGTTGTTGTCTTCGTTTTGAAAAATGTTGAGCGGATTAAGAGCTCAAAGGTTCCCGTAAATCTTTGAGTTCTTAAAATAACTTAACCCTGCACGTGGCATGTTTCCGACGGATTATGGTAACAAGTTTTGAACCCAAATAACTGTATGTCAGTATTGTTTTGTTTAACGGTCGGTTTGAAGAAATACACCAAACCGATTTAATAAATCTCGATATGTTTAGACATGAAATTTGATTTAATATATAGTTTAGATGCGATTTAAAATGAAACAAGTTTGTCAAATCTTTTCATAAATCTCGATGTAACGACCGAAAAATACAACCAATTTAAATTTTTCAAAAACAACCCGATTTCATTAAATCGTTTAGAAAAAGGTTTTCAATACAAATCATTTAGAGTATTCTCAGAATCACATTGCTACAAAATCATGAGGAGCGGTACGATCACGCCTTCGCCTTGCCACAGTCTCCCGAAGAACCTGAAAAAACATTAAACCACAACTGTAAGCCCGAAAGCTTAGTGAGATACCCCCAATATACCAACCACATATACGCCCTTCCAGGCTACGACCTTCCGGTCCAAAACATATTGCCTTCCGGCCCATAGCATAAAAAGCATACATAACATAACAGAACATAGAATAGCCATGCATGTCGGGTCTACTGTGTGACTGGTCCGCCGTATCGGGCCTTCAGTCCACCGAATCCATCCTCCGAGTCTAGTCATGTCCTTCGAGTCTACAGTGTGGTTGGTCCGCCCGCACCGGGCCTTCAACCCACCTGGTCCACTCTCTGAGTCTACAGTGTGACTGGTCCGCCCGCATCGGGCCTTCAGTCGGTCTGGTCCACTCTCCGAGCCTCGGCACGTCTGGTCCGCCCTCGTGGGGCCTACAGCCTATCCGGACAGCTCGCTGGGCCTTCGGAATAACCAGTCCGCCCTGGGTATCTTGGCCTACAGCACAAAGTAGGACCCGCCTCAACCCATCTCCAATCCAAACAACCATGTGCACATAACATACAATCATATAACAGTCATAGTCAACAAACCGAGCAAGCAGATCACATAGCATATCATTACCCTAACCAGGTTACCGACCTAACCGGTCACTCGCATAACATCACTCTATATATCGGGAAACTAACCTTAACTAGGTCTCTAGCATGTACCATCCTAACTACCACGATGCAGACACATCAAACAATAACATAATAACCATATCCGAATCTCAATCCAATAAAGGGTCGGCCTTGGTGCCTTAGACCCTGTTGATATAGTGAGGATAACCCACCTTGAAACTGCCGGCTGAAAGGATAAGATCCCGCTGCTCCGAACTCCGACACGAACTCCTGCACTGAACACCAAAACACTCAACTCAATATATACCCTTATTTACCAAAATACCCTTGGAAGACAACTGGTCAACCCTTAGACAAGGTCAAAGTCA